AGAAGAAGAAGAAGAAGAAGAAGAAGAAGAAGAAGAAGAAGAAGAAGAAGAAGGAGGAGAAGAAGGAGAAGAAGAAATACAAATAAAAATAAACAAGAGTCTTGATCAAACGCTTAAACGCATTAGGATTTGTTATTTCTCAGAGGTCCCGGAGCAAGGAATTCCACATTTTGGGGCAAAAATAAAAAATGGGAAGCTTCTCTCATCAAAAGATCTTGATTTCATTCCAGGGGCTCTGAATTTTGTTGTATCAGTGGATGACCGTAACTGACGGGATGGAAAATACGGTGTTAAGAGCTCAGACAGATATGATGGAGCATGATAAACACTATGTCTTTTCGTTTCACGATGATATTATAATCAATGAGATGCTAACGCTTTTGATCGGGGATGCATCCATGAAGATCTGGATCTTACTGGCAGTTGAAAGTTTGTTAGTGATGAACAGACCATAATATGTTCTGTACCTTTTCTGTAACAGACGAAGACAGTTGCTGTTACATGAGTCCTCGCCTTGTTTACCGAGCCTACTCTGGCGTTGAAGTCACCCATCAAAAACAGCTTATCAGAAGCTGGGGCAGGGCATAGGCCGCCTCAAGGTCGCAATAGATTTTATCTATGAAATCACATGGATTTGTCATTATTGGGGCATATGTTGCGTAATGGGTAAATCACAGAACCATGCATCTGTCATTAGTACATTTAGCGGCTATGGGATTTTTTAAACCGCAAAGATAACACCATTTGTTTTAGTCTGTGCAACATCTTTTCTCTTCCAAAACCAAGTATAGCCAGCTCTCAGCTCTTTCAAATCTAGTTCACTGAGAGGAACGATATCGGGATCATAGCAGCTGCTGAGCTCCATTGCAATGATTACTGTCTTCCTTTCAAGATTGAAGCTATTATCCTGAAGTGTGCAAATGTTCCACCAAACCAATTTTCATTAGTTTTATTGAATAGCTTCGACCGCATTGTGACATCCCTACTGAACGTTCTTTAGGGCACCTTTTTTTAAGCCTCTTCCCCTTGCGGGGGGAGCAGTGCTGTACTAAAATGGCCGTTACAATACCATGGCTGCTACCTCAACTCAATAATGAAACGGCTAAAGCCCATGGCCACTTTAATTACAGGTTTGTGCTAACAGCTCTCAGCCTATACAAGCCTGCTGCCACTACTGCAGTCATCCGTCGCCCTATGAATTTGATGGGGATAGACAACAAAGAAGAGGAAAAGTATAGATAAAAGCAGATGTTTGACTTGCATAAAGGTTATCTAAAGTGAAAAAGTGCAGCACAAATATCGGACTTATTCTCTAGCCTAGGTACAATGTATCTGATGGAAAGATAAAGAAAAAACGACCAGATTAGTATCCAGGTGCGGGAGGTTGCCAGAGTGCCATCCATATTCAAGGGAAGACTGACTGATTTTCTTTACAACCCACTTCCCATCTAATCTAAATGCAGATAATTCGTTTTTCTTGGCTAAATCCACCAGATTCGAGTGGCTGATGGAAACATTAAAGAGAGTTAGAGAGTGTGCAGGGTAGGGCAAAGTTTTGAAAACACAAAAGTCATCTCCACGAGATCACCATCACCATCGCTTCCCTTGTGAGCTCAAGAGGTTAGCGGCCATTGTGCTGTCGGTTGAAAGACAAAAAAAGACATTAGTAAACATCTCAACTAACACAAAAAGTAGTCTACAATGAATTTTTATTCTTGGGTGATTGGCGGGTGCTCTGGTATGGTTTTATTCTTCTTTCCTATCAAATATATATCGTCCTCCTCTTGCTTCCTTCTTTTCTTTTTTATTATTTTTTTTTATTTTGTACACTAAAATCTTGTGACCCCTCTGACCTTTGGCACTTAGATATGTTCTATTTCTGTTGCTACTACCGAAAAACTGTTACTGTTATTTGTAATCTATTCCAATGGGATGTGATTTATGAAACGCAAGAATGCGCCTTTTCTCCAAGAACTGCTCGATTACTCAACTGTTGGACCTGGTAGTGAAGGGGTTAAAAAATCGGAGCAATACGACAACAAAAAGCAAAAACAACAACAAAAAAACAACAACAACCACAATACCATAACAACAACTAACAACATTCTCACTGTCCACGGCGGCGTCACGATAAACCGTCGTGTCTGGTGTCTCTCTCTACACGATAAGACCGACCACTGTATGCAGCGCGCGCCTGTCTCTCAGCACATCACGAAGATTCCACCACCGATCATGTTCTCAAAACATGATTCTTTTAAAAAGGCGGAAGCTCAACGCTCCCTTTAGCGAGAGAATCGCGGGGACTCTATCGTGAATAGTTAGAATAAAATACAATAAATAAATAAGTTACACTTTTATTTGTCCCGCAAGGGCACTTTGGTTTACAATGGCAAACATACATTTACATACATAATACATACTTATGAATACATACAAACATAAATACACTCATAAATACATACATAAATACACAATATTACACAAACACAGAACAGCTTGATCACCCCAGAAAAAATAAATACCGTAACACACACAAAATCCCTAAACAAAAAAAAAAGAAAAAAAGCGCCTTCTGATTCAAAGAACTTCCATAAAGGGATCAGCATCTGATTTCTGATGTAGCAGAAAATATATCTATCGACCATAGACCTGCTTCTCTAGCCCTATCCGTACGCCCTGGGGTCATTTTGTACCCACGGGGTTGTATTCCTCACATTTTAGAATACTTCTAGTACAAAGATCTCTTTGAAACTTTCACTATTTCTGAAAAAATCAGTTTGACAGACTGCTATTCAAAGCATACGGATCGGATCAACGAGTAAATTTCCTCTTTGGAAAGTGGCGGCACAGATTTCCCCATGTCATATATAGATCAGATACAATAGTAAAACACGACGTACGATAGGGCTAGATCGCACACTGTCATGGCCGCCACTCTTCGTTCTCTGTAAAAACTTTCTGCACGGGCCACACCATTTCGCCCAAATGAGGGGCGGAAATTGCCAAGAACAAATTCTCAGTCTACTGACTTTTAAAGGTGCTTAAATTAATTATTTTAAAAAAAACGTTTGTTCTAGCTGTCACTCTCTTCTCCACTAAAACAAAAAGAAAAAGAGAAAACTAATGCAAGTTCAAGGATTCAGATAGTGTGGAAGTATTGTCACGACACCGTGAAATCAACCGCCTGTCAAGGTTTGGGGCATAATAGTATAACGTTACTGGAATAATCACAAAGCTTGTTGATTTGTATTTTGTATTGCTTTAGACGTAAAGAATTTCAATCGATCTTGGATAGAAGTCGAGATATCTGCAATTGAAGGACGTGTGGGTCGACTTTGTCTGAGGTAAACTTAGCGAGAAAATGGCCGCAGCAAAAGTTTGATTAGATCTACTTCTAAAGTTTGAGTGTCCTTAAAATGAAAATTACCGTTTTTGTACCTTCGATCAACGTTTTTCACTACAATCGACACAGAAATGTTTATAATTTTTTGAATGGGAATAAAAAGTGTTTAAAGAAAACGAAACGTTTAAAATTGCCCCAACATGCCGAAAAATACCAGTTTCTTCGATTGCACTATTTTGATTTGACAAGCACCTGATTTCACCACAATGCCACACATACCCACACAATACAGGAAAATGGGCAGAGAAAATCCTAGTCAACACAAAATACAAAGGCAGTCACTTATCAAACAACACCTACCTTCTCCCACCAAAATATCCCAATGGAGACTAACAAACAACTCAGCCGATCATTTTTCATACCAGCACTCAGCACTCTGCTACTGCCGCCAGAACTGGACCGTCAGTAAGGCACAACAAACTAAGATCACAACATGCCAAAAGAAATGTCTCACAAAGAAGCTAAACATAAAAAAGAAGACCACCACCACCACCATTACCACCCCCACCACCACAACCAACAACAACAACAAAACAAAACAACAACAACAACAGCAACAACAACAACAACAACTACAACGGAAAAATGACGCCAGACCAGTGGCCATCGAATCAAGTATGTGATCTAACATAGAAATAACAAAACAATTTCAATAAAATGATTTGGCCATCTTATACGAATACGGTTAAAACAGCCCTTCCTAATGGCATACTTCATTAGTTTTAAAGGGTGGGGAGCTAGAGATAGACCCAGAATAAGATGGAACGACGGAGTTAAAAGACTATCTAAATTAACAACACACTTGGCCACGTCCGACAATTGCACCTTCCTTGTAGCGCTAGAGTATAGAAACACTAAACTAAACTCACAAATAGAGCAATAATCTTTTCAAACACACTCTTAAGGAGCAATATTATGCCCAAGGCCTAGTTTCGTTGGGCCCAATTGGCACGCTCCACAGTGAACCGGAAATACGACAGAGTGGACGATCGAGGATAAATCTTAGAATATAAATCTATGCATGAGACACAGTCACGCCTGCAATCTATAAGCACCTTTACAGTCTCTCTCTCTCTCTCTCTCTCTCTCTCTCTCTCTCTCTCTCTCTCTCTCTGTCTGTCTCTCTCTCTCTCTCTCTCTCTCTCTCTCTCTCTCTCTTGCTCGCTCGCTCTCTCTCTTTTTTTCTTTATCTCTCTGTGCCTCATACACCCCCTCCCACCTAGGAAAACCCTACAGATGATACAGAAATAAGCCACGAAAATCGAGAATTTGACACTTCTGGGACACGTTCAATAAGCTGCCGAACAAAAAGTCACCACCCCCTCCCTTCCCGCTCACAAAGCAACAACAAACAAGACACACTGAAGATAAATAAACGAAAATAGAAAAGTAAGATAACCCAAGTTTTAAAAAAAAATAGGAAAAAAAACAATAAACAAACAAAGGAAAAAAGATTTGAGCAGTCAGGAAGAAGGCAGATGGCCCCAGAAATTCCTGTATAAATTCTAGTGTCCGTGCCTGCTTCGGTGTGTGTCATTGTGTCAGTGAACAGATTGGCCGTGCGGACGTCGAGTGCCGTAAGTCTTTGTTGTGTGTCGTCCGGCGTCCTTCCGTCTGACCACACAGCCCATCTTGTCTAGCAAAACTTGATAAAAATAATTCATGAAATGAAAATATAAATACTGTTGTACTTTTATTGATCCTCGTAGAGAAATTTTGTTTACAATGCCGTAACATTATATATATATATATATATATATATATATATATATATATATATATATATATATATATATATATATATATATATATATATATTTAACATACACACATACATACATAATGAAACATACAGATATACTAAAATCATGCCATTGCTTCTTGCTTCTGTGCAGTGCTCTGGTGTTTGTTAACAATGAATAAAACAAATTTACTTTCTTCAAAATCAGCTTTGTTTCGCGCCACATGCATCGAATAAACAATGAACTTAGTGCACCTTTATTCGTCTAACAGTATGTCATATTCTATATTTTCACATCTTTACCTTCTCTTAAAGTCGAGTATTGCCTCACAATAATCATATAAATCCTGCAAAAGCATCAGACTCAATCACAATGCACGCCCTTGTTTGCTTATTGAAGACAGCACTTCGCTCCTTCAGAAAGCAAGGGCCTTCTTAAATCTGCTATAATTCCGTAAAATTTTGATGGATGTGTTTGTATAAGCACTCGAACAATCCGTAATTGGACAGAGAATCACAATATGGGTGGGAATAGGTAGAATCTATAGTAAATGTGGCACAGGACCAGGTGTAGATCATAAGGTTAATGAAATCGGCACATGTACCCCAAAAACGTGTGATAATCCACATTCAACGAGTTAAAGACGTGCTGTTTTGGCAACTTTAGAAAAGAAAGGTGTTTTAACATTCATACAGATTCTTTTTCAGCTCTGTTTCCTGTATCTGAAACTTTAAAAAAGACAGGCAACAACATTCATAGGCCTTCTAGGAAATATGCCAAATTCTTGTTCCTGATTTGTGTATTACCGTTCGCAGTTCCCTGAAACACTGCCTTTGGGAATACTGTTATGGGTGCGAATAAGGGTATGATGGGGTGGCGTACTGATACGGAAAAGGAGGAAGCGGAGGTATATTTTGCTTTGCTGAAAGGAAAGTGTGTGTGTGTGGGGGGGGGGGGGTAGATTTGTCTCGAAAAGGGACATGAGTAATCGTATAATACAAGTTAGCTCCTCGGTTTCGATTGAAAGATGAAAGATCACAAGGTCAAGACATATTTTTGTACAACCGTGCAGATATGATAAATCTTGTGTCCAGAAATAAGAGAGTACAGAAACATAATACATATATAGTAAGAACGCATGCGTTTAAGAAAAAATACAAATATCCGTGAATGAATGAAGTCAATTTTTTGGTATTAAAAACAGATATATCAACAGACACATTTTCTTATTATCTAGTTCTTATCAAAATCAAATCTGACACTTCTGTTTGCAATCAAATCTCTTTTCATGTACGGATTTTTAAAAAGTTAATAATAATAAATAATAAATGACATTTATAGAGCGCTCAACCCCGAATAAAGTACACAGGCTCTGAGCGCTTTACAATACAGTACGACATACAACAGTAACATAAAACGTGTTCTGACTAAAGAAAATTATTCCAAATATTTATCGTATTAATTTAAAAACAGAAACGACTTCAGCTGACATTTGAATGAATCAAAAGATTTGATTCCTCTCAACGTACTTGGTAAAGCATTCCAGATCTTGGGGCCTTGGTATTCAAATGCCCTTTCACCCATTGTTTTAAGTTTCATAGATGGTAAAATAAATTTCTTTTTGTCAGCTGATGACCTTAAACTGCGAGTTGGAATGAACAATCTTAACAGATTTGATAAATATGATGGTGCATTATCATTCAAACATTTGTGACATATGGTGGCCAACTTGTACACAATCCTTTTCTCAACAGGAAGCCAATGCAAAGTTCGTAAAAGAGGTTTAGCAGAGTCTCGCTTTCTTTTCCGTAAAACTAAACGTGCTGCATTGTTTTGGACAGTTTGAAGTCTTTTAACTTTCTCCACTGATATTCCTGATAACAAGGAGTTACAATAATCGAGTTATGATAAAATTAAGCTAGTTACTAGTAAAGCAGTATAGTTCTGTGACCCAGGCATTACGTTCTGCTGCGAATACTACAAACCTTAGTTTTAGTTTTAGTAGAGATTTTACCGCACAAATCTGATGCAACATCCTCACGCATTTTCTGTTTCGTTTTGCTTTTTGAGACTTTTTACAGAATGTTTTCCCCTTGTAGTAAGTTCAGGGTCCAACACGCCGTGACGTAACTGGACTGGCAGCTGATAAGTACCGTAGAGCTTCACGATTTTTGTGCTCAGAAGAAGTTGTCAAAGTGCTTATCGCTTATCGCCTGTCGAGACAGCAGCTATATAGGTCATGTCCCGTGTTCTTGTCCCATTGACTGCTGCTCGCTCTAGTTGCATTATCATTATTGCTATTATTATTATTTGAAATACCAGTGGTCTTATTATTTAATTATTATTATAATTATAATCATTATCAATATTAGTATAATAATTATTACTATTACTATTATTATTATTATTATTATTATTATTATTATTATTATTATTATTATTATTATTATTATTATTATTATTATTATTATTATTATTATTATTATTATTATTATTATTATTATTATTATTATATTAATATTATTATTATTATTATTATTATTAATATTTATTATTATTATTATTATTATTATTATTATTATTATTATTATTTTAAAAATGTCATTAGTCTATTATCTTAATTATTAGTTCGATTCCAGATATGGAAAGTTACTTTATCGAGTCTTCCTTTCAGTCGGCTGGCTCAGTACCTCACTTTGTAATGATTAGCCATGACAAACTCTGCTTGAGCAGCCCGCCTCTAAAATAACCTAAATTTAATCTTTGAAAAAGAGAAAAAAAAGGAATCAAACGAGCAAAATGTATCATGCCTATGTTTCGAGGATGGATGCGTTTAGAGAGGGAAACATAATTACTGAGGTATATATTCAACATAAGAAACGTTCAAAAGATAACGGTGCACTGAAGCTTCTGGGGATGCTTAATAATAATAATAATAATAATAATATTAATAATAATAATAATAATAATAATAATATTAATAATAATAATAATAATAATAATATTAATAATAATAATAATAATAATAATAATAATAATAATAATAATAATAATAATAATAATAATAGATAGCATTTGTATAGCGCATATCCCCGCTCAGCAGCAGGCTCTATGCGCTTTACACTATATTATTACCCCAGCAGACCATAGAACACTCCGTAACATTCTCAGCTTCCCGGGAAGCAGACAGTGCAAGCAGCCGATTAAGCGCTCAAACACTAACAAACTGACACAATATTTTGCTTAGTGAGTTTGGAACACTAAAAAAACAAACAAAGACAAAGACAACCCCCCCCCCCCCAAACAAGCAGCAAAACCCCCCAAAAAACTTCAACAGCCCCAAAACAACAGATAAAAAACAAAAACAAAAACAAAAACAAAACAACAACAATAACAACAACAACCACAACAACAACAACAACAACAGCAACAGCAACAACAACAACTAAATCAACCTCAACAACAACACCAACACCATCACTACCACCACCACCACCAACAACAACAACAAACTCTCACTGAGAGTAGTGAGATTCTCTGTCCTGTAAGCCATTTACAGACCATTTAAAAACTATTAAAAAGAAAGAGGTAAAGTGACGATGTTTCTATTCTGATCAAATTTACCAATTATTTTACCGCGTCGACAACGGAAATTCATGCCCCCAAGTAGTTGGGATTGCCATGTAAGAGCGCAGGTAAGGAAAAAAAAACCCATTTCATGAGATTAATTATCTGGGTGAACTACTTTCCGAAACTACTTTTTGACAATTTTTCATTGCCCTTTTATGAATCTATTTTTTTGTAAACTTTGCGCATACAAACAAAGGCGGTGACCAAAACCTTATCTGAAGTCATACAAAAACGGATTTAACGTCGGAAGCAGAAAAATAGCAATAAGAAACCAAGAAAAGCAAACAATTAAGAACATTTAGAAGGTTTTAAAACTTGCCTTGTGCCGTAACTTTATCTCTGAAGTAAAACATGTTTTGCTATATTCTTAACCTGTCCAGCATTCCATTTCACGCTGGGTCGAATAAGATCTATAGAAGTGATAAGAGTATACACACACACTCTCACACAAACACAAACACATTCACACACACACACACACACACACACACACACACACACACACACACACACACACACACACACACACACACACACACACACTCACATGCACACACATAAAATATACACACGCAAAGATACACATACGAACACACACACACATATTATGTATCTTTTATATACACATGCATGTACATATTGCACGATCTTGTTGTTTCATCAGCAGCACACTTACACCGGGTGCCCATTCGTAAGATTTTATCGGATCGGATCGGATCGAATCGGATCGGGTCGGGTCCGTTCGGATCAATGAAGTGCGGCTTCAGTGGACTCTACGAATAGACCCCTCTTTTGTTGGGTCAAATTTGTTCCGGAAGTTTTAAAAAAGAAAATGTTGACAGGTGTATGGTGTCATTTGTAGCATACGAAAAATCCCTTTCCTTCAATAAAAGCTTCAAGTGCTGATTGCCACATATCGCGGTTGCTGTGTTCAGAGGTTCTTAAATCCTGCAAACACGGGAAATATCCACATCTTTTTATCAGCGTCACCAAATCTACACTGTCCATTTTCACATTCAGCTCGCGCAGAAAAAGTCCCTGACCTTGTGGCTATGATTATTTACATCTGTGGTTACGACCTGTGTGACGCGAAACCTAGAACAACAAACGCGTTTAATTTTGAAGGTCACGATCGAATTCAGTTGAATTCGGTCAAATTGTGCCAACGTGGTATCTCAACGAAAGATAATCTTGCTTGCTGGCTAGCTGGTCCCGACTGAATCAAATGAATTCGATAGCCAGTGTGCACTGGGTATTAGACCTATCTGTAATGATTGTCTGTCCCTTTTCCTGTTTATCTCTCAGTCTGTTGGCTGGCACTGACTGGCCTTGCTCTGGAGTCGTGAGACAAGCGTTAATCAATAGGTGTCTCTAAATTTTTGTTGAAATTGATATATTTTTTTCACTCTTGACCCCGTTATGATTTTCCTTTATAAGTTACCTCCCGAGGAGTAGTCCTCGGAAAAGGCAATCTTATTTTTCTTTCTTTTTTTTTTTTTACGTTTGTACATTAGCAATTGACCACGCTCAAGTAGCATAATAAGCTGTTGTCGCCCATAAAGCAGGAAAGGAAAAAAGCAACACAAATGATACATCTCTCCCTCTTGACTGTTTTAGGCGTTATCTTATCGTGACAGCCATTTAAAAAAAAAATGACACATCTATTCTATTTTAATCATAGTAAGTGCTAAATCACGATGAATACGAGCAACATGAAGCTTGATTTGAGAGTTTTTAAAATCTAAGAAATATTATTTTTAACTTGGTGACGTAGATTTGGGTTCATGGTGCATGTCAGACAAACCTGTACGGTATGGAAAGACTTTGCTCTTCGAGGATGGTATTTCTTAAGCAAAAATTAAACATTTACAGTTACGTACTCTTAAAGTGAACACAGTTAATTGAAAGCAGCTGCAGTAAACGGAATGAAAATAAGATTCCTGATTTTTTCCTCTACTATTTGAGCAACCTGTTTAAACTGAAAGCGCGATAAGCCGAATGAAACCCTGCGGTTTACAGATTTCGCTTCCAACGGATTCTTCTGTACATGTACTTGGGATTTTTTTACCACTACTTTTCACAACGGTCGAGAGATTTCTTTGTAAGAACTAAAATCAAAAACAAAAAACCCCCTTCAAATACAATAGCAAGCAAACAATTCATAGTTCCTTTAACAGATTACATATTGTTCTATACGCTACCAATTCTTTGGGGGGGGGGGGTGAAGTTTTGTTTTGTTACATATTCCAGGCATACTTGCATAGAGGTAGTGTTTACTAGCGTTAGCTAGATAGAAAAAAAAAAGAAAAGGGGTTGGGGGGTAGGGGGTGGAGAACAGACGGAGACGGAATCAAGGAGAGCAATTTAAACATCTTGAGATCATAAAATATATTTACGGGTTGCTGCCCTTGGTCAGAAATTAATTGGTCGCTTACAAGGACAAGCGGACTAACCCAGATTTCAGGGGTTTCCAGAAATCTTGACCTGCACCAAAAGTGGGCATTGCCCTACCTGTAGGAGAAGTTTGGTTGCATTGGTGTGTATATTTGTTTGGTAATAGAGAAAACTCTCCTTGTCTTTTAAAGAAACTGAATAAAGATACAAAAACTTTACCTTCGATTTTCTCAAAAGAGCTTTTTTCGGGATAGCCCCCTTGAGCTTAAAAGCGACCAATCAGAGGCAATGGCTCTGAATAAAATTAATGGGGACAGTAGAGTAGGCGGAGAACCTTCAAAACTCCACCTTGATCCGAAGTTCAAGAATTGTTTTTTAATGCCATTTTAATCGTGATACTGCTTACTTTTACACTACTTTTTCATCCTCTGTTATGATTTGATGTGGGCCAATGGCCTTAAACGCTGAATAAACTTACTTACTTACTTTATCCTCTATTGCGGTTAAGCGTTGAGGAGAGATGCCGTTTTCTATGGTAGACCAGCCTTGCAGCTCTTTCAATTGGGATATTTTAATTTCACAGGGTTTCCTTAATTCTTTCAGTTCAATAATCGTTGATAATTAAAAATGAAAATAATAATGCTTGAAGTCTTAATCGTATCAACCCTGGGTGAGCAGGGGTACCCTAGAAGACTCGGTCACAGAATCTGATGTCCGATATAGTCGGGAGTCTTTCCGCGTTCCTCTAAATAACTTTACAGAAGGGAGAGGAAAAGGAGGAGGATAAGAAAAAGGAGGAAGAGGAAGAGAAAACAGTGTTTAACCCATACTCTGCTTCTGAATTAGTATTTCAAGAAGCAGTACTTATTTACTTTTTTTTTTACTTCTCAGGTGAATCGCTACAAGATGCTGTTGTTGAAGGTCGTTGTGCTGTGTGTGGCATTGACGTCATGCCTTGCCGCCCCTAGTGAGTGCCTCTTGTGATCGTGGTTAAAGTATATACTATAAATTGTACACTCAACGTAATAATAGTATGGGATATTCAATGAACAAAAAATGCTCATGTTTTTTTTGTTGTTGTTGTTTTTAAAAAAAGTAAAAACGAATGCACACAAAACGAGTATGGCCACGTTTTGAATAACTTTAATGTCTTCCTGATAAACATTCTTGAATACCCTCACCCCCCGCCCCCCTCAACCTTCCTCCTCTAAAAAAATACAATGTAATTAGTGAAAGCTTGTTATGCGGGGTGCCCACTACGGCTGGATCGGGCCGATCGCTCGACTGAGTAGCCTGAAACTGAAAACAAATACGTTTGTTTTTGAGGCGACCGAGTCGGGCGATCGGTCAGGGCGATCCCATCCGTAGTGGGCACTCCGTAACAAGTAGCTTTCGAGACTAACTAGAAACGTTTTGCGACATAACGTTTATAACCAAGAAGTGAAGCATGTAAAAGAGACCAATGTTTGATTTACGATCTAATTGCTATTTAGAGAAGAAAAATTAAATCGTTGTAGTTGTACATATTGTTTTGTTTATAGCATAGTTTGTGACTCATCTTGAAAACTCAAGATTCAACTCGGAATATAAAGCAAAAAAAGTCAAGGTTCGAAGGTCAGGGAATGAAGGAGATATGAATTATGTTATAAAAATGGAGAAAGTTCGACAAATTGTATCGAAATCGTTTAAGTTTGAGAGACAATTAATTGTATATGTGTATGTGTGTATGGGTAGGGGGGGTTGGGGTGGTAGGCATCGTTTTAATACATCAAAAACTTAAATTTACGTTAGTTTGAATAATGCTCACTCCATTTATTGATAAACGGGTCCTTTAAACATATTTCTTGTTTTTATTTAGGCTTGTCTAAACGAGGGCGCCTCATGGACCTCAGTACTTACTGGGAGACGCTGCAAAAGCTGAGAGATCATAGTAATGACAAGACTAGTAAGCATACTTATTTGTCACATACCTGTTTCGAATGAAAAGTAGAAGATAAATAAAACCAAATTCTTGTACGACGACAAAGACAACGACAGCGACAAGGCGAGGAAGAAGAGGAAGAAGAAGAAGAGGAGGAGGAGGAGAATGAGGAGG